AAATATTTTTAAAAAATATTACAGGGTTGCCAAGCAATTAATTTCTTGTGTAATTAGAGAATAATAACTTCAAAATTATTTAAAGTACAGACTTTAGCAAGCTAACAAATAGTGGTTCATTTTATACAGAGTGTTTTGAAACGTCATAAATGTTATGTTCAATGTACTTAATTGCTTCAAATGCAACACCCTATATATTTTTTAATCATTAAATTTGTTATGAATTTAGATATCCAACAACACCAACATGTAAACCTATTAAACATATACAGGGTGTCTCATCAGTGCGTAATTGATAAGAAATTTTTAATACAATATTTGTACATTTTAATTTTTTTTAAATATACAGGGTATTATATAAATGAGGGGTGGACCAAACTTATATATTTTAAAACCAAACACCCTGTAGGTTGTTACGTATAACATATTTGATTGTTTTCAAATCATCAAACAATTTTCCTATATTTTTTTTAATTTTCATTCATTTACTATCATTGCATACAGGGTGTGTCAAAATACATGGTTATGATTTTCTCAATTTTTTTCAAGTGGAATACCTCCAATTAATTAATTTCTTTACTTTTTTATTTGGCACTCTTTATACCAAAACGCATTTTTTTATATTATTTACAAATGTTAACCTTCAATTTTTGATATTTTCTAGCATGGATGTTTTCTTATATGGTACTTAACCCAACAGATATTAATATTGTGATACTGATTTAAAATAAAAAGAAAAAGTCTGAAATAATTTGATGAAAATTTGGAAAAAATTTAAGTAAAAGAATTTGCTTTTATATTACTTTGTGACGTCGAGGGAATAGAAAACATTTTTCCCTAAATAAGTCCATATTTTCAAAAACTAATTAGAAATGTTTTTAAAAAGTATATCAATTTTCATGATAAAGTCATCAAAATCTAAAAAAAATTCGTTTTCTTATAGAGAGTGCCGAAAATAGAAAATAAAGAAATTAATTTATAATACAGGTAGAATTTGACTGCCTTATCCGGTTTTTTCTTCTTGCAGGAGATTTTAATTCGCCTCTTTCTTGATGGTATAAATTATTTTTTTCACTGACTCCACTTATTTTGAAACTTACTGCTGCAGTCACACTCAATTTATCTTCATTGACTAAATATCAAATCATATTAAAAATCACAATTTCTGCACCCATTTGTCCGCGTTTATTTTTTAAACTCTATGTTGCTGGTAAGAAATCACAACTGAACCAACTCCAAAAAAAAAATTATTGAGTAATTAAATGTCAAAGTTTTGACAATTATAAAAAATTCGTGCACTACACAATTCATGTTATCATGTTACGTATTCGATCGAATAAATGCTATTATTACGTACTTTGATTTGGAAAATATATTATTTTCGAGAAATGTAATAGCTAGCAATTCCTTATTGTTATTATAAATTTTGTTTTGACAATGTTTGTTGCTTTATCTTTTTTTTTTACTATTGAGTTTTGAGACTTTTTGGCGCTTTCGTGCATCACACGGCTTTGCCCTTATGTACAGTGCGGGCCTGATTGTGTATAGTCTACAACCTAAAATACAACCATCAGATATCAAATTTTATGAATCGTATACGAGGTCATTAAGTTTGTGATAAAGGGTAATCTTTCTAAATATTGACAAACTTTCTATAACATCTATTAAATGATGTCATACTTGGTACTTTCACGTCGAAAGGAATAACGTATAATGGTTGAAGATATGATAAAAAATTGAGGGGTCTTAACGTTTGTCTAAAATGTTAACGCAATTCTTGATGACTCTGGCACGTTTACCCTTTATATTTATAAATCAGTTTCCTATGCGAATCAAACTGATCGTTCTCTTGCTAACTCTAATACTATTAATTAAAAAAAAAAAAAAATTAGAAATTAGGTATATATTACTTTTTGTAATTTTATATATAATAATCTGTTTTTTTAATATTTCAGAGTTTTTTTTTAATTTTATTTTTAATATGATAATAAAAATAAGGTTGTAACTTATTATCTATTCTAGTCTGTTATTGCAATTCTGCCATAGCAGTTGATCGTACAGTTTGAAAGTTTGTTATGTATTGTAAGGTAAGGTTTAGAAAGTTGATCAGATACATTTCAATTTAATAAGTCAGTTTAAAAAAAAAAATACAATTACTATCGTCTACTTTGTCCACGAATGTTAAATAATATTTCAGGATATCTTTTTCATCAAACAGCTGATTCATGTCTGTTTAAATTTGCTACAACTTTTTTTCATTTTAGCACACATAGATATATACAGGTTGTTACAAAAAGATGTACAGTAAATGTAACCACAGTCGATTTAGGCTAACAACTTGCTTTAAGTAAGAAAGTTAGACATTTTTAAAGTAATTTAAATTCTGCCAGGAATGTATATTGTGTGTATTTCCAACAATTTTATTACTAAATATTCGTGGACAGTAGTTATTCAAATATTGATTCGATTGAAGCAAATTTTATATCGAAAAGTATCTGATTTGATTAAAAAAAAAATTGGTAAGTTATATATGTGCTTGGAAATCATTGTAAGTTATAAATAGATGAAACAAAAGCAGAAATTTGAAACAGTTCTAAATGTACATAGCCCACTTATTTTGTTACGAACATGTGATACGCATCTCCCTAAAAAAGTTGATTTTACAGTTTTATTATCGAAAAAGAATAATATGAAGAAGAAATAATTGATAAATAAAAGGAAACTAAATAGATTTTACGATGATATAGAGTTGTAGGCATACGTTCTGTTGTGTGAAATGTAGCAATAATATTTTTAATTTAATAAATTTTAACACGAATGTTGCGAGTTTTATTTCAAATGTAGATATTTTAATTATCTATAGAGTTAGTAAACCAACAAATTCTGATACAGAGTATGTGAAAATGTCTAAAAAAAGTTAACCAATTCTTTAATATTAAGATGTACGAAGGTGCGCAACATGTAATAATGAAAAAAGTCCCAAAACGGATCCTTGAGGTACCTTTATGTTTAACATAAAATTTCCATTGTTCTAAATATGATTGAAAGAATAGGGATAGACTTAGACCAGAACATCTTAGTTTATTAAGAAAAAGTTGGTGATTAAAGAGATTTTGAAAAATCAGTGCAACAAGCTGATATTGTATCACCAAAAAAAAAAAAAATAAAATTTACTGAAAAAATTGAATTATTGTAAAAATATTTTTAAAAAATATATTTTCTCCACCCTGTAACTTCTTTTTCAAGTGATTGTACTGAGATAAATTGACTTAAATGAACGTATTTTCGTTCAAACTAATATGTTTTGTATTAGTAATGAATAGTAATGAATTGCTTAGGAATAGCGGAGTATGTTTGCCATAAATTCCATCTTCAACTACTAGGGTACAAAATGTATTCGTTGGGACAAACCTCATATAATGAATGAAAATATAAAACGAAAAAGTTTATCAGAAGATATCTTATCACTATATGTATGTTTTGAATTAATAACATCTTGGGGAAAATAATTAATAAGTTAGCGTTATCAAGAATGAATTGCTTAGGAATAGCGAAGTAAGTTTGACATAAATAGAAACAATAGGTCTCGTCAATTGCGTAGCGTGACGCCGATACAAGAAGTTTTTTAAGTATTTAATTTTCGACTTACAAAATAAAGTATACAAAAAATGTTGCAGGTTAAAAAAATATTAAAAAAACTAAACTAAATTAAGGTAGGACAGTTTACGAAAAACAAAACAAAAATGTGAACGTATCTGTTAAGATTTTAAAATGAAGACCAATTCTTCTAGTGTGCATATTTGCGAAAACATTTATTAAGTTTGTTTTTCAAATGAAGGGGAAGAACGCGATTACGATACTCGCATTCGCGTATTAATATAAGACGCACAAGGTGCGTTTAAGAGATCGAATCACTCGCCAACGAAAACAGCTGACTGGAAACCTAAAACGAGTTATATAAAGACATTTTACCATATCATATAAATAATAGTGATGTACAGATAATTCTTGGTAATATTTAATTAATTCTTGCTTCTACCTCGGTCGAGTAAACCAGTATTTTATTGTAATTTAAAAATAAGTCTTGATTCTAAAATTACTAACGCGAAATTACGACCAGAAAGGTCGCTGACCTCGGCTCTTCCCACCTAGCGTTCAAGATGTAATAAGAGATCACAACATGTCGAAATATTTTAGCGTAGTAGCTTATTCTATAAAGTTCGATAAATACACATATAAACAATTGAAATTGAATTATTTGAATACATTAACTGAGAGATCTTATTGATTTTATTTCAAATAAAAGAATATTAGCTGACAATATTTTGAAGAGATGCGACACATCACCCGTATCAAAGGACGATTTGCCACCGAGTCTGATCATCCATCTTCATTTGACACAAAATGTATTCGTTGGAACAAACCTCTTATAATGAATATATAAAACCAAAAAGTTTTATCAGAAGATATCTTATCACTTAACTATCTTAGTAACATCTTGAGAAAAATAATTAGTAAGTTAGTGTTATCACTAATGAATTGCTTAGGAATAGCGGAGTATGTTTAACATAAAAACAATTAGTCTCTTCATCTACTATGGTAATGTACTCGCTGGCACAAACCTCATATAATAAATGAAGATATATTATCGGTTCATTAGTTGAAATAAATACAAATGCAGGAATTTCAGGATCCCTGACTAGTGAAAAGAATCCAGAAACAAATTTTTTTCGAATAAATTTAGCTCCGAGCAAAATTTGTATCGGCATCTCTGGGTGCCGCCCAAACTATGTAACCGGTGGCCTAATGGTTATGACGTTTGGTGTCTGAATCAATTTTTTTTTTTCGTTTACACATTTGAACTTTTTCATTTTTAAACTTTATGTAATGTGTTCGTTCGTCTTGAGAAAACCAAATGCTAAAATTAGTTAAGAACTGGTGAAATAAATTACTTAATTGTTCTAGAAAATCAAATGAAATAATAAAAACAACGGTTAGTTTCAGTTTCTTTAATTTTTATATACTTTACAATGAAAAATGAGTTCGAATTTTTGTGGTTTATGTGCACAAATTAAAATAATATAACAATCCAATGCTGGCAATGCTTAAAAAATCGGATTCTGCTGCTTCATTTTTAAGGAGTTTGTGTCTTAGAATCCAGCGACAAAACTGGCGCCCAACGTAATTATTTTTTTAATCTTGTTCATAATGGAATTGTACCGCAAATATTGATAACAAAAAATCTCAAATTAACACCAAAATTCGAACAATTTACAAAACATATCTTCACACTGCACAGTTCGAGTCATTTTCTTTTTAATAAAATTTAAAACCGGAATTAGATGAAGGATTACGTCGTGTCACTAGCATTAATTCGCAATACAACGGGTACGCTGGTGCATGGTAAAATCGCAATTTCAGTGACTACAGCTGTCACCAAATCCGGTGGCGTCACATCGTATAACAAACTTAACGGAGTTAATTTCGCTACGTCCTTCCATTTTTTTAACGCAGTCGGTATGTTAATGTGCGTGACGCTTAATGCATCTGGGTTTCCTAAAAAACATTAGCGTGATAGATAAATACGTATGCCTCTGAATTAAATTAAAATTGTCATGTTAGACGAAAGGCAAAATGATAAGTTATGGACTACAAACACCCTCGCATTCTTGAAGTGAAAACAAACCAAAGAAAAAGCTGAAAATTGAAGAAATAATGGAGGTATCTTACAGAGATTGAACCTCGAACCTTTCGACTAAAACCAATTGGCAGTCTATCTTGTAGATTTGAAGTCAATCAGATTCCGACTCTCGTCAGCACACACACACACATACATTTCCCTCCCCTCTCAGTTCTCCTTAAAGCCTCCCTTGTGACATCGTATAGGAGGACGCCAATCTATTATTGTACTAAAATAAATTTCTAAGATCCTTCGTTCGTTCACCAGTGTTAATTTTTCGACGAATATGATTCAACTGGTAAAGGCGCCGACACAGTTCTACTGGGAAGATTCCAGGTTCAACCCTGGCTGATAAAATGCATTTTTTCTATTTTTCTTTGTTTGTTTTCACTTTAGAGATGTGAAGATGTATTTTTCATAGTCGGAATTTCTTATTAGTGAATTACTTTTTCTACTTACCTAGTTCATTATAAACAAACGAATCCGTCTGCACTCTTTCGCTGAATTTGTACGTCTCGCAACAAACCAGTACAGGTTTGTTATATTCCCTAGCTACCAAAGCAACTTGAGCGGTTCCAATTCTCGACATGACGTAACCGTTGGTTAGTAGCGCGTGCGCACCAAGTACTACTTTAGTCACAGAATTCATGACGTAGCTTAGAGCGTTTATAAGTACGTAGGTACATTTAATACCCGCCACTACTAATCTTCTTAGTAATTCTTTGCCTTCTAGAAGCGGCCTGCCGTCGACGACTATGACTTGGAATTTTTTGCCGTCATTGTGCGCTTCTAATAGGATTTTTCTTATTAAAGATGAACTGAAAATAAGATTTGTTTATTTCTTACTAATATTTGAAAATTTAAATTTTTACTCTATATTACTGTTTCAACATAATGGAGGAAAATTTCAAGAATGTCTAGAAGAATTTCTGGCACTATAAAAATTATGTAAAAAATGTTTAAAATGCATATTAGCAGAGAAAACAGAGACGTGTAACTTAATAGGAAAATTTGTTGGGTGGTCCATTTAAATTACATATCGTCGGCTTAATATGAAAATAATAGTATATTATTAAACGAGCAATTTATGGTAGCCATTATTCACGCAGGGTGACGTTTGCGTCCCGAGCCGTAGGTGAGGGGCGCAAGTCACCCGAGTGAATAATGGCCATAAATTGCGAGTCTAATACTATACTTTGTCCACGACCATTATGGTTTCTTTATTAAATAAAAGTTAAGTGTGAATAGAAAGTTTTTATTAAACATAGGTAACTAACTGTTTTTTCGATTTTTCGTTTTTTTTTTTTTTTTTTTTTCTCGATTTTTCGATTTTTTTTCGATTTTTTCGATTTTTCGATTTTATTTTTGATTTTTCAATTTTTTTAGATTTTTCGTTTTTTTTTTTTTTCTCGATTTTTCGATTTTTTTCGATTTTTTGATTTTTCGTTATTTTTGATTTTTCAATTTTTTTCGATTTTTCGATTTTTTTTTTTGATTTTTCGATTTTTTTTCGTTTTTTTTTTATTTTTCGATTTTTTCCGATTTTTTCGATTTTTTTTTTTATTTTTCGATTTTTTTTCGGTTTTTTTCCGATTTTTTCGATTTTTTTCGATTTTTTTTTTCGATTTTATTTTTCGATTTTTCGATCATTTGATTTTACGATTTTTCGATTTCTCGATTTTTTGATTTTCGATTTTTCGATTTTTTTTTTAATTTTTCGATTTTTTTTTTTCGATTTTTCGTTTTTTTTTTTTTGATTTTTCGATTTTTTTCGATTTTTTCGATTTTTTTTTCGATTTTTCGATTTTTTTTTTTTATTTTTCGATTTTTTTTGTTTTTTTCAGATTTTTTCGATTCTTCTATTTTTTTTTTTTTTCGATTTTTCACTTTTTTTTTTCGATTTTTCGTTTTTTTTTTTTTCGATTTTTTTCGATTTTTCGATTTTTTTTTTTTTTCGTTTTTTTTTTTCGATTTTTCAAATTTTTTTTCGATTTTTCGATTTTTTTCGATTTTTCAAATTTTTTTTCGATTTTTCGATCTTTTGATTTTTCGATTTTTGATTTTTCGATTTTCGATTTTTTGATTTATCGATTTTTTTATTTTTCGATCTAGAAAATATCGCTATGAAAAGTATCGCCTATCTTTAGTTATCTATCGGAATGTGCCAGAATTACAAATGCGATTTTTCGATTTTTTTTTGATTTTTCGATTTTTTTTCCGATTTTTCGATTTTTTTTTTAGATTTTTCGATTTTTAAAATTTTTTTTTCGATTTTTCGATCTTTTGATTTTACGATTTTTCGATTTCTCGATTTTTTGATTTTTCGATTTTTTTTTGATTTTTTTCGATTTTTCGATTTTTTTTTTGATTTTTCGATTTTTTTTCGGTTTTTTTATTTTTCGATTTTTTTCGATTTTTTTTTCGATTTTTTGATTTTTTTTTTTGATTTTTCGATTTTTTTTTCGTTTTTTTCCGATTTTGTTTCGATTTTTTTTTTTTGATTTTTCGATTTTTCAAATTTTTTTTCGATTTTTTTTCGATTTTTCGATCTTTTGATTTTACGATTTTTCGATTTTTTGATTTTTCGATTTTTCGATTTTTTTTTTGATTTTTCGATTTTTTTTTTTTTTCGATTTTTTGATTTTTTTTTTCATTTTTCGATTTTTTTTTTGTTTTTTTATTTTTCGATTTTTTCGAATTTTTTTTTTTTTCGATTTTTCGATTTTTTTATCGATTTTTTTTTTTTCGATTTTTCGATTTTTTTTTCGTTTTTTTTCCGATTTTGTTTCGATTTTTCGATTTTTTTTTCGATTTTTCGATTTTTTTTTTCGATTTTTCGATTTTTTTTTAGATTTTTCGATTTTTCAAATTTTTTTTCGATTTTTCGATTTTTTTTCGATTTTTCGATTTTTCGATTTTTTTCGATTTTTCGAATTTTTCAAATTTTTTTTCGATTTTTCGATTTTTTTTCGATTTTTCGATTTTTCGATTTTTTTCGATTTTTCGAATTTTTTTTCGATTTTTCGATTGGCTATTTCTTACATACACTCTAGTGGCTATTAGAAGATTGTAGAGTCATTTAAATGAAAAAAAAAAAAAAAAAATAGAATCACAAAAGGGCAAAATTTTAAATCAGGATGCATTGGAAAATAATTTTGGCCGGTTTTGGATTTTAGAGAGAGATCAATCTCAAGAAAAGTTAATTTATCCTGCAAAACAACTAGTAGTTTAAGTAGGATTTGCTAGTTTTTGTTTCTTCTGTAAATTTGTATAGAAAAACTATTTATTTCTGAATCCACGTTTGAATTTCCTGCCCTAAAGCGCATTTTAAAATTTTCCCGCTATTTACTAGTGGCGCCATCATAGACTGGTTGTGGTTACAATCGCCCAAACAACTTTTACCGAACAAAAAAAAAATACATTGATTTACACGTCTTGCTGGGTTGTCTCTCTACTATACTGTATCGTACTTAAAATTATTTAATTATTTGGCTTGTAGGTAAATTCCAATACTTAAATTTTTAGATACCTTATTTGTGCAATTTACAAAAGAGGTGTTCAGATATTTTATGTATTTTCCTGACAAAATATTTTCAAGAAACTGTATTTAAGGCCGCAGTATCACTGTATTTCTCATATAAGAAGCAAGGGTTCACCATTTCCGATTGCATTTAAATCCCGCTAAATGAATTAAAATAAATCTTCTACCAGCTTAAAGTATAAGGTTTGGAGAATGAAATCTCCTATTTTTTATTTGTCCTGTTTATACACTGAATTTAAAAAAAAATCATAAAAAGTGATTTTAAAACCAGAGGCTAAAAAGTAGGAGATTTCATTCTACATATTTTTCCAAGTATCCCGCCAAAATATTTCTAAATTTTATTGCGTATTTTTCAAATCTAACTTGAAATACGATTAACAAATATTTGATAAATTTATTTGTCAAATTAGAGATTTTCTATGAATTCCTGTAATTGTGTACAGTTCATGTAGTTCATCTATTTTTAAGAAGATGTCACCGTAAAAAACAGTATAGCTATTCTACTTTAGAGATGGTTTTAATAGGTAAATGATTGTTTAGAGGTACCAATTTTTGAAACAGTGATACAGGTGTATGCCGTCTTTTATTGTTTCGTGCTTTTCATATATATTTGTCTCGTTTGGTTCCAAATTATCGATTGATTTTGCCTGTGTATGAACAAGTGTTGACCACGTTGCCAGATTATCGATTTATACGATAATTTCACAATTCTTTCTAGGACGAATTTGATTTTAAAGTGGGTGAAATATACAATAGTGAAATGCAGGAAAGGGAAGGAACTTTATTGCATTCCGATGTAAATTAAATCCGAATGACCTGGCATCATTGTATGATACGCACGTAATATTGGCGGTCTTTGCTTTTTTCTCCTGAATGTTATTTTATCTTTATAAGGAATCTTATTTCTGAGTTAACACGTTGACTGCTATGTGTATGTACCCATGTGTATGTCCTATTAGTGCGTAATTGTTCAATATTTTAATTTATGTTAAAGACACGCAAACATGTTTAAAAAAAAAGTTATATGGATTTAAAAAATACATATTTTAAAAATATTTTTAGATATATACAGGGTGCTACATTTTTGCTTGGTATATTTTTAAAATAGAACATGTATTTTATTTCAATTTTAGAATGGTTCGGTAATACTGTATTCAACCTTAGAATAATTTAAAAAAATATTACAGGTCTGCCAAGCAATTAAATTTTTATAAAATTAGAAAATAATGCAGACCCTAAATTAAATTATCATAATTCAAAATTGTTTAATATACTGACTTATAGCACATTAAGATAACGAATAGTAGTGATAGTGCTGGATTCTTTTATAGCGAGTGTTTTGAAACATGTCTTAAAATGGTTACTTTTAAGTCAAATTACTCAATTTTTCAAAGGCAGCATTTGATATAATATTTTAGCATACAATTCCTTATAAATTTGCATATCCAACGATACCAACATGTTAGAGAATAACATATATACAGAGTGTCTCATCAGTGCGTAATTGATCGATAGCTGTTTTATTATTAGAAATAAGAAAAAAAAATAATATAAAAGTTATATGACCATATTAAAAATTATTCCTATATATACAGGGTGGTCCATAAACGAGATGTTGACCAAACCTATACATTTTTACTTTCCTATCTGTATACAGATATAAGGAAAGTATAGGAATCATGATTTTAATCGACCTCGAGTTTTCGACGGATTTTTACGTTTTGAGGTCCCCTGAATCCGTTTTGACTATTTTCGCGATGATGTCTGTGTGTGTGTGTGTCTGTGTGTCTGTGTGTGTGTGTGTCTGTATAACGCATAACTCATGAACCGATACACGGAAAAACACCAAATTTCAAACTTAAGCTTTGTTCCAGCGTCTAATGAGCTGATTAGATTTTGGGCAGAGTCGGAACATCTGGGGGGGTACTTTATAGGTGGTCATTTTTATATTTTATGGAATATATCTGTTATTTACGTTTGGGGAAGAAAATTTTTCAAATGAAAGTTACTTCTTATTTTATTATCTATAATTTTTGTTATTTACAAAATTTTCCTAAAATGGTCCGTATTCGCGAAATTTTACAAAATGTAAAAACATATTTTTTTTTATAAAAATTGTTCAAACAAAAGTTGTTTGTAATATAATTCTCTATAATTTTTATCCTATAGATAATTTCTCTAAAATGGACCGTATTCGAGATATTTGAGAAAATGTGTAAATTTCGAAATTTGAAGAAAACTCAAAAACGGATAAAGAAAAAAACATTAAATTTTAAA